GAGTGTTAGGGATTAAAGAGGAAAGGGGAAACGGGTTAAAAGGATTAATTAATATATATATATAAATATATGTATATATATAAATATATATATATATATAGATATATATTAATTAAAGCACAATTTTCTCGCGCGCGACGACGTGACAAAATGGGTGTCCTGCTCGGGCAAAATCGACGTTCCGGACGCGTTGGCGCAGTCCTTTTCGTCATCCGGGGTCGCTCGGACGACGTCGTCGACAATCGAGTCAAAACGCGTCAAAATTCAAATTTCACCAAATATTGGCCCGCGATCGATCGTCACAAGTGGTTAACTCGAGCCCTCGGCAAATAACGGTGCAGGCAATGTGAATTACGGTGATTGGACACGTCGAATCTCCGAATTGCGAAGCTGGTGCGCGCAGGAGTGCGAATTGTGCAGAAGGACACCCTAAGGCTCGGAAAGGTCCTATAGAGAATCCCTTTTGGGTTTCCTCATGTTGGTTTCGTCCTTCTAAGTGCTAGAAGTTGATACCACACACGCGAAACTCCAGAAAGGGACGGAAGCGGGTCGAACTAAAACGAGGCGGGTCCCACTTCTAAGGTTCTAAGATAGTCGCAGGAAGACCCCTAAGGTTAGATCCTAACTCCTACGAGGAATACTAGACCTCACGAAAAATTGAGGTCAACATAACTCTACTGGATCTTCTAGTATGGTTGACTCACTTCATCATGTTTAATATTATGGTTTGAGTGTTGGACCCTAACTCTTTTAATATGCTTAAAAATCTCTATAGGGTTCATAAAATTCTCATTTTTGTTGTTTTGGAACCTTTAGTTCATGTCAATAAAAGCAGAATTTTAAACAAAAATGTCAACAACAAAATATAGATTTTTTGGAAGCTCATTGTCTCTCTTTCGTTATAGAGGATGAGGAACAATATATTCTTACTCAAATCAATTTTGAAAACTTTCAAAGGTGGGACATTTTTGTTTACTCTAGCTCTCATTTGCGTGAAAAACAATTACTTTGGCAAAAAAATTGAGCTTTTGGGCAGCATCATTAATGAGAATTGGTTTGTTGAGGGAGACTTTAATGTGATAATGACGCCTATGTAAAGAAAAGAAAGTTGTCGAGTTGAGTCTGCTCTAATTAACAAGTTCTCTAATTCTATTTCTAATGCATGTCTCTTTGACTTGAGATATACTGGATCTCCTTATACTTGGAGGAGAGATTTTCTTTATCAGAGATTGGATTATTTTTTGGCTAATTCTGCTTTTATTAATCATTTTCCTATTGTGAAGGTTCAACATTTAAGTTATGCTACTTCTGTCATAATCTCATTTTGTTCACTTTGGCTTTCACTGTTAAACCGATCATATTTCGTTTTAAATTTCTTTATGATTGAACTTCCATGATACTTATTTAAATTTAGTCAATCAAGTTTGAAAATTTGAAAGAGTTGAGACTCCTTGATTTGTTCTGTGGCAATTGCACAACAAGAAGATTGCTCATTTTATAAAATGAAATCAACAAATCTTTGGTGATGTCCATAAAAAAGTGCAGGATCCTCAGAATTTTGTTGTTTCATTGGAAGCTCAGCCAGTTGTTTCTCCTGTCTTGATGGAAGCTATTGCTCAGGCTCACATTGCTTTAATAGATGTTATTACTTTAGAGAAAAATCTGCTTCAGCAGAAGACAAATGACACTTTTTTTAGTATTGAGGATAGAAATACTAAATATTTTCATGTCACACTTAAGCATAAAAGAAACATCAATAGTATTTTGAAAATTAAAAAGAGGATAGGAGTTTTACAACTTACATGAATGAGATTGTTGATAATGTTGTTAGCTATTTTACTGAACTTTTCAAAAACTCTACACATATTATATCTATTGACTTCACTCACTTTGTGGATGAGTATAATTTCACTGGTTCGTTTAGCTTTGCTTGCTGCAGCCCCACCTTGTTCTGGCCGAGAGATACATTGTTGTTTGCAGGGTTCGATCTTTTTTGTTGTTAATCTCAATGGACAAAGTAGCCACAACTCTGCTATTGCTCTACTTCTTTACTGTTGAAATTGATTTTGGTATACATGTACTTTCTGGGTATACTTTTTATTTTAGTATACTTTTAGTTAAATACACGTGTTATTTTAACTTTTTTGAGTAGATTTGTAATGTGGATGGTGGAATCCCTAGGATCATGATGTATTTTATTTTGCTTTTAGATGGGGATCCACTATCCCACCTCTATTTTGTAATCTCTTTTAATAATAATGCGTAAGGAGTCACGAGCTGTTTTTTACCATTTACCATTACACTATAACTGTTAATAGAAAGTCACCTCTGAATGAGAGAGCATAACTTCTGTTTGAAGCTTTAGCCTGCAACATCTTAATAATAAAGTCTCAGCTAATAGTATCAAAAGCTTTCTTAATATCCAATTTAAGGACCATATTTCCCCCTCTGCACTTCTTGTCTAAATCTTCAATCATTTCCTGTGCTAAGAGGATATTATCAGTAATCTCCCTACCTTTAATGTCCAAATGATTCATTGAGCTTCCAATGAATCATTTCCTGTGCTAAGAGGATATTATCTGTTAACTATAATTTTACTCATAACCTTAAATATCACAGTAGTAAGAGATAGGACGAAAATTGTCCCAGGAAATCTTATCATTACCTTTTGGAATGAACACAATCAAAGCAGAGGTGAAATATTTACCAAGGTTATCATCATGGAAGAAGTTTTGTATGACTAGAGTAACCTCCTTCTTAATAACCTCCCAAGAATGAATGTAGAAAGTTGAAGAGAAACCATCAGACTTAGGAGCTTTGTTAGGACAAATAGATTTGAAAGCATTCATGATTTCCTTCTCATCAGGAGGATAAGTTAAATGAAGATTATTAATGTAATTATACTCATCCACAAAGTGAGTGGAGTCAACAGGCATAGTATGCGTAGAGCTTTGAAAAAGTTCAGTATAATAGCTAACAGCATTATCCGCAATCTCATCCATGCAAGTTGTAAAACTCTCATCTCCCTTTTTAATTTTCAAAATATTATTGATGTTTATTCTGTGTTTAAGTGTGACATGAAAATATTTGATATTTCTATCACCAACAGTAAAAGAAGTGTCATTTGTCTTCTGCTGAAGCAGATTTTCCTCTAAAGCAATAGCATCCATTAAAGCAATATGAGTCTGAGCAATAGCTTCCATCAAGACAGGAGAAGTAACTGATTGAGCTTCCAATGAATCAACAAAATTCTAAGCATCCTGCATTTTTTAATAGACATTACCAAAGATTTGGTAATTCAATTTAATAAAATAAGCAGTCATCTTCTTGTATAATTGCCACAGAATAAATCAAAGAGTCCCAACTCTTTCAAATTTCCAAACTTGATTGACTAAATTTAAAAAAGTATCATGAGAAGTCCAAACATTAAGAAATTTAAAACGAGATATGGTCGGTTTAACAGTGAAAACCAAAGTGAGCAAAATGAGATTATGATCAGAAATAACATAGCTTAAATGTTAAACCTTCACAATAGGAAAATGACTAATAAAAGCAGAATTAGCCAAAAAACGATCCAATATCTGATAAATAAAACTTCTCCTCCAAGTATAAAAAGATCCATTATATCCCAGGTCAAAGAGACATGCATTAGAAATATAATTAGAGAACTTGTTAATTAGAGTTGGCTCAACTCGACAACCTCATTTTATTTCCATAGACGTCATTATCATATTAAAGTCTCCCCCAACAAACTAATTCTCAATAATGATGCTGCCCATAAGCTCAATTTTTTGCCAAAGCAATCGTTTTTCATGCAAATGAAGGCTAGAGTAAACAAAAGTGTCCCACTCTTGAAAGTCTTCAAAACTGATTTGAGTAAAAATATATTATTCTTCATCCTCTATAACGAAAAGAGAGATAATGAACTTCCAAAAAATTCATATTTTGTTGTTGACATTGCAATGATTACGACAACCTTTAAATTTGTTTAAAATTCTGCTTTTATTGACATGAACCAAAGGTTCAAAAACAGCAAAAATAAGAATTTTATGAACCCTACAGAGATTTTTAAGCCTATTAAGGGAGTTAGGGTCCGCCACTCCCCTAATATTCTAAATAATAATATTAAACATAATGAAGTGAGTCAACCATTATAGAAGATCTAGTAGAGTTAACCAATTGTTCCCCATCAGAGTGATAAATTCCTTACTAAATAATGTTACTACAATCCAGCCTAGACAGTTCATTATTGTGCTTAGCCTTTTTACGTGATTGCTTTTGCAACTGTCACTCATTGTCTAATGTTATAACAATGATGTCAACATTCCACCAGTCTTTAAGTTTTAACATTTCAAACTCTTTCCTGATTGACTCTACTTTAGGTATATCATACGTAAATTTACCAACAAGAGCAAGAAGACATGAAGAAGCAATGACAGAAGTTTCATCCTCCGTAACAAACAGAGCAAGCTTCCCATTTTTTTTCTCCAACTTCTTAATGAATGTATAATCCCCTCCGACAGTGAGTGTATCATGAAAGCCTTGTGGAAACATTCCCGTGTTGGGAGTGGCCGAGTCACCCCCCATCCAAAACAACATCAACAAACGAACGAGGAACATGAGGCATGACGAAAAACAAAAGGAGAAATGAAGAGGGGTAAAGGAAATATCTCACCAGCGAAGAGGGAAAACGAAATCGCCATGAATGCCAGAGCAAACCCTAGCCGTCGTTGCCTCCATCCTTTTTATATATATGTATGTACGTATGTGTATATATATTTATGTATATATATATATATATATATACACATACATACATATGTATGTATGTATGTATGTCTCTATGTATATATATACATACATACATATGTGTGTGTGGGGGGGGCAATTTCGTACCTTCTTGTGGGATGCTGCAATGACGAACTTACTCATAGGTACAAGGGCAAGACTGTTATGACTGAGGATGAACGTTATGAGTCTCTTAGACATTGCAGGTACTTTAATTTATTCTAGTCTGGGAAAGGACCTCATATAAACTTTACTAATGTTGTTTTTTAAATCTCCCTTCATGGTCCAATTTGCACCTTAACCTGATGGCAATAATACTATAATGTGAAGATTAAAATTGTTCAACTGAAAGTTCAATGATCTTCTCTCTGAGTGTTATTATATATGTTCTCCAATATGCTTGGAAATCTATGCAGCTGAGGATGAAACGACCTTTTTCTTAATCTAGGTGGGTTGATGAAGTTATTCCAGATGCTCCTTGGGTGATCACTAAGGAGTTCCTAGACAAGCACAAGATTGATTTCGTAGCTCATGATTCTCTCCCGTAAGTTTTGTATTCTACTGCAAAAGTTATCAATTTTCAGCATTTTTGGACTCATATCATTTTTTATTGCTTTTTTTTTGTTCCCTCTTTTATTCTTAAGCGAGAGCACATGTTTTATTTTTACCATCCCTTTTGTTTTAGATATGCTGATGTCAGTGGAGCTGGAAAGGATGTTTATGAATTTGTAAGTTGATCGGTGTGTATTGTTAGCATGCTGTTCGTTCCTTTAATGTGCATGGTGTTCTTTCAATTGCTTATATGTTAACAGGTCTTTTATCACAGTATTTTTTTTACCTTTGACTATATCCTCGCAAATTCAGGTCAAATCAGTCGGAAAATTTAAGGAGACGAAGCGCACAGATGGTATCTCTACATCTGACATTATAATGAGGATGCTAAAAGATTACAATCAGTATGTGATGCGGAACTTGGCTCGTGGTTACACTAGGGAGGAACTTGGAGTCAGCTATGTGAAGGCATGTTTCTCCATTTTGTGCATACCTGTATGCTGTGGTATCGGTTAGTTGTAGGACACTATCCTTGTATTTTGCAGGATCACTTGTCCCTATATGTTTTGAGTTTTTAATGATTATTTACCCTGTACTGTTGCTTGAAATTCCGTCATTTGGTTCAGGAAAAGAGGTTGAGAGTAAACATGGGTTTGGAAAAGTTGCTTGAAAAAATGAGGCAGCAGCAGGAAAAAGTAGGAGAGAAGGTAGCTGTTGTTTATTCATATATAATTCTATCAAACCTCTTTGTCAAGTTTGCACTTTTCTTATTTTGAAGTTACTCTATAGTGATGTTCCTTAAAGTGACAGTCTAGTATTTTCTATGAAAAACTGTGGCTGCACTCTGACTCCACATAGGGTTTGCTACTTGTCTCAGCTTTTTCAAATGGTTTCAGTTCAACTAATTTTCGCTGGTTCTGTGTTTTTCCAGTTTTTTTATATATACATACATACATATATACATATACATACATATACATGTACATACATATATATATATACATGTACATACATAGGAATTGAGAAGTATATATGTAAATCTTCCTAACTAAAATCATTATTTGAAACCACATAACTCATTCTTCAAAGCAAAAATCTTCTTAAGCATTCTTGTGACAGTCTTTGAATAAGTCTTGAAACCATCAAGTTTACACTCGCAATTTTCCTTTTTTTTTAAGGTTCTGATTGCAAAGCTGTGTAGTAAGATTGCAGTAAAGTTTTGTTGTTTTTGTTTTGTTCCTATATTCCTTTGTGTTGTACTCTTGAACAAAGTCATGGAGAACATCGATGTTTGCTTCACAAGAGTTTGTATTGGCTTTTACTAAACAGTATAAGAGAGTAAATTTTGTGAGAGATTCTTCACCAAGTTGCAAAGAGAAGGAGGAATTTGCTTAATTGAATCACCATTCACAAACCTATGATTTAGGAACCATTTTTTTAGAGAAATGTTTAAGCACTAGATCCAATTGCCCCCTTGATGTAAAAGAATCATAGTTTAAATTAAGAATTTGTAGGAGAATTTATAGAAAATAAAAAAATGGGCTATGTATTTACATATCTAACAGCTAAATTTTATTCTAACATTCCACCCAAAACTTTCATATCCTTAAAAAGTGAATACCACTATTTTTTAACGTATAAAATGTGAAATACACCTTGTAAGGTGGCACATAGTTAAAAATTGAAGTTTGGCTGCTAAATATGTAAATATATAGGAATTAGGTGGTATGTATCTAATGATATTGGTCGTATAAATGTAAAAAGGTAAAGTTTAGGTGTTAGAAATGTAAATGCATAGGAATTGGGTGGCATGTAGGTACATGCAAGCTTTTAATTAGCTGAAAGTTAAGAATCAGGGAAGGTTTGGCATTTGAGTGTTCAATGAGCACATCTGTTAGTTTTCAGAGCATTTTAATGAAGACAAAGAAAGCTATTTGATTTCAAGGGAAGCCAATTGTATGCACAAGTGACCGATATTTTTTGTTCTTTCTTACTTCGTAAATTTCAGCCCTTGTGTTATTCGTTTACTTAATTTGATACTGACTTTCCTAGTGATCTTAATTTTAACCATGCCGTGGCACGTCGAAATTCTAATTTGCAAAATTTTATTCACGTTTCTCTCTTCTTCTTTTTTTTTTTTTTCAGATTTCCTGCTTATTCCATCTCCATTTGATCTTAAATTATCAATTTTACCACCCCTAATTTCTGACCATCCTCACCATCTTCAACACAGCTAGAATGCCCTCTAGCAAACCCTAAAACAGCGAGCAGGGATAGGATGAGGAAGATGAAAAGGTAGGATACCTGTGGAGAAATTGCCTGATCCGGGGGTGGTTTGGACCGACGATCCTCTTCTGGATTCTGAGAGCGATCCTGTAGGTCCGCTTCAGCCCCAAAAAATAGGCCGTCGCCGCCGTAATCTCCCATAACACCATCTTCGCCAAAATAGAAGAAACCAAGGGTGAAACCTCCGCCCTACAATTGTTGTTCTCCGTCTTTCATCCTCTACAATCACAGAGTCGTTAACTAACGCAGCTAAGCTCAGTTCTTTCAGCGGCGGCGAAGGTGACAGAAGCTTCTGCCGATGGAAAAAATATTAGGTCAGATATTTTGGTAAGTACATAGTTTATCAAAGGGGCATTTACAAAGATACCCTTCTACTCTTACATATTTACTTATTGAACATCTAAATTTTACATTTATCCCATCCAATTATCATATCACATAAAAAATACAACTATTTTAATAAAAAAAAAATACCACTTTTCATGAATAGGTATGATGGTATGTTCGTAAAATTTGAAGTTTTAAATGTTAGATATGAATATATTTTTACAATTATGTCACTTAAATCATTCATATCATATAAACAATATCATTATTTTAACTTTTAAAAAGTATAGTATGCATTTTCATACATGGGTATGGTGACATGAATGTAGAAATTCAAACATAGGTATTGGATATGTAAATACATATGAATTGAGAGGTATGTATGTAAATCTTCCTAACAAAATAATCATTTGCATGTGTACTACATAATACTTGTGTATATCCATGTCTAACAATATTCATTGATAGCACTCAAAACTTTGATATAACATAAAAAAATATCACTGTTATTTTTTCTTAAAGTGAAATATTTCATTTTATGCATAGTATATGATACGACGGTGTTATAAATATAAATATATAAGATTAGGGGTTAAATATATAAATACATAAGAATTGATTGGTATATATGTAAATCTTACTTTTTTTTTTTATTTTGCTTAAGCTTGCATAGCTTTATGAATAATTGATAAACTTTTCAAAATCATAAAATTTATGATCATAAATATTGAACTGTGGTAGGACATTGGGTTTTGAATTATTCATGAGTTCACACAACTCGGGAGAAACCTGTGTAGAAAGGAGGCGAAGGAAGGAAAATAGATTATGTGCTCTCTAAGCCTTTCATTTTTTTTTTTTGAGAGGTTGTAGAAGAGTTTGGAAGAGATGATCAAAAAGGAGAGGATTTGATTCCGTTGAAGGTAAAAGAACACATCTATTTATATGACTCATAGATGATCCTCTACTTTGGTAGGGTTAAATAGAAAGTTTATTTATATAAGACTAGAGATTGTACAGTACAAAGTATGTTCTCGGTGTTCCATGAAAGATGGTGACATGGTTGTCGGGTGGCTCATAAATTGATATTGACATATGTCTGCTCTTTAATGATGACCTTCACTTTAGCGGTTAGTTTATCCCAATGAATATTTGTAGAGAGACCGACATGTTAATTCACCAGGTCACTTCGATAATTAACGTGTGCCTATTGTGTTATGGAGAAAGTGGGATCTTAAGACCACGAAAATTAACATTTATCGGCACATAAGAAGTCTTATCACAAGACCTGTTAACATATGTATTGGCCTTCGAAAGCCATTTTTTGTTTTATTTTTAGTTCCTCGATTCTCTTGAGTCCATATATTGCTAGGCTAGAGAGTGATCAAGTGTGAAATCAATTTCATTTGAGATGAATCTTCCTTCTGCCTGGGGGCATTTTGGTCACACCTGTAGGGAGTAATCGCTTAAAATTATAGTTGCGTTAGTACCATCCTTTGCTTGGGCCACTTTGGCTACACTTTCAAGTAGTCAATAAAACTCTTAAGTGTGGACCATTCCACGCATGGGAGGCCTTAGCTCTCCCACAGGTGAGATTCATTTTAACATATTGAATCCATCTGACTAAGACCTACATGCCTTACATGCCTTAATTGGGAGACTCAGTTTCTTAAGCAAATGTGTTATTTTTATTAAGGGCAAGCACTTCAGGTTAAATAGAATACTTTTATCATGATACAAGCTAATGGTAATCATGATGACTAAATAATAGGATATGAAAATTATATTTAGCAAGTATAAGATTTTTTAGCAATGATGAAGAAGCTTACTTTGTCATTCTCTAACCAAGTTATATATGTAGCGAGCATAAACTTTTCGAGGAATCATGAGGTAACAAAGTATAAGATTTTTTAGCAATGATGAAGAAGCGTACTTTGTCATTCTCTAACCAAGTTATATATGTGGCGAGCATAAACTTTTCGAGGAATCATGAGGTAACAAACTCTTCTTTCTCTTACTCTTTTCACAATGTCTTGTCGAGAAGTTAAGAAAATAAGAGAACTAAATGTTTACCAATAAATGAATTTCAAGAGCCAATGCATGTGTTAATAGCCCTTGTGAGCTTAAAAGGGGACTTTTTTGTGTTGTTGCATATGTTAATAGTTTGCATGGGCTTAAAAGCCTGTCTTTTACAAAACACGACTATCACACATTAACTGTTGAAGTGACTTGTTGATCTCACCTACTAACTTGTCAGTTGTCAGGCACCAGCTACCGTTGTGTGAAATCGATTTCATTCAAGATGAGACTTCCTTTTGTCTGAAGGCATTTTGGCTACACTTACATGGAGCAATCGCTTAGACATACAATTATACAAGGACTATCCTTCACATAGGGGCGCTTTAGCTACATCTTCATGGATTAGTCGCTAAAAATCCTAAGTGTGAATTATTCCTCACATGAGAGCTTTAGCTCTCCCGTAGGTGGGAGTCATTCAAAACTACTGATACCGCCTGATCGAGACGTACATGTTTTATATGCCTAAAATTTAATTTGAAAATTTGTTGGTCATATGAAATAAAATCCACATATATGTATTGAATGTCTATTGAAGCGTCGTTAAGCCGTTAAAGAAAAAATATTAAATTCATTAATAGTATTTATGGTAGTTATTAAAATTATTCAAATGTTAACTCCTTGTGGTCTATAAAACGTAACGTGTAGATATGATATGGGTATATCGTTTCGATTCTACATCTTACAAAGAATATTTTTTTGCTCATTTTTTTTTGTTGGGAGTATTTTTTATCTTAGTTGGTCTGATGGTGGTTGCCCATTTTTCTTTTGATTGAGTGGCTTTCTCAACCTCTATATGTTTCATATGCCTATTTTTAGGTTACCCTCACTTAGAAAAACAAAGAAAAAAAGGAAGGTTGAATGTTGATAAAACTCAAAGGAAACAATGAAATCATTAAAGAGATTTTGATCGACAAACATATTCACATCTTTGAAGGTGATGGGTGGATGGGTTGAAGCTGCTGGCCTATCGAGGGTGGTCAAATTAGCCTCTCCTATTTTCATTTTTTTTTTTGAAATTAGACTCTTTTGAAACTTCAGGTATATCTCTTCAAATAATAGAATGTATTATTCCGACAATGTGCACCACTCTTGTTGGAATAGCCTCATTACTTTTGCCTTGAGTGAGCACTTTATCTTGTCTTTGAGTATTCATATTTGGAGCCACGTTACCTTTTAGCTTCCTTGCTATGATTAGCTATTTAATTAGGCTCGTTAGATGACAATAGTTCTTTGTATCATGCTCTTGATCCTTGTGATGGGCCTAATGGTTATTCAAATCATGTAGGTGACTTCACTATTAAAATTAGCTAGGGTTTTTTGAAGAAATTTTTGTTTTGGTTGGCCTCTATGAATTCGACCATGGATCAATTAAGTAATTTCGATGGAGGCAACTAAGGTGGTTCTTATCCTTAATCTGCCTTCTTCCTAATCAGCTTGTAGTTAAGGAATCCCATCTCTGCCTCATGAATTCACCTTCCAGGCGAGTTTCAAGAATTTATTTCAATGAATCAATCTCTTCACTCATTAAGATATAAAATACTTTGAATCATCCTTCTAGCTCTCAATTTTTAGAGGAGCTCGATAAGTAGTTATTTTCTTTAGTAAAAAATGCAATTGTTTGCTAACTCTAAAAGCTCAATCTGGAGTTATTGGTTTTGATGAACAAGAACATCTCTAATTGAGCCCTGACGCAGATCTTGGGTTAGTGTTGCATGGACAATTATAGGTTTTAAGTTTCTGACATGTAGCATCTCCCATTAAAACCAAGTGATGAAGCCTCTGAGGTTCTCCAAATGCTCTTATCAGATCTTTAAAAGGGATTGGGACTTTTTATGTAGCTTTTGGGTGCTAACAAATTGGGCTACAAACATATGCTTAAATTGGTCAAAAGAAGTGATAACTTCTGCAATTAAATTTTTGAAGTAATGTAGGAATGATTGCTTCACAATGTAAAGAATAAATGAAACTTCAAGACATCATTTATGCATAGTATGCAAACAACTGACTGAAATGAATCTACATTATCAACATGATTATTTCTTCCTTCTAAGGCTCCAAAGATGGAATATTGAACTTTCATTGTGCTTCAGGTTCTGTGATATCCCTTGAAAAGTATTTTTTGTTGACTTTTGTTTCGCCTTCTTCCATCTTCTTCCTTTCACCTCCTCTTCCGAAGAGTTAGAAGATTCTTCACTTGGAACATATCATTATTATTTTCTCTTCTAGTCTCGAAGACAGAGCTCTTCTCACCCTTATCCTTGGTAATCCTCATTAAACCATAGATCTTAACGATCAAACGTGCATTTTGACATGGATACTGGAGCTGGTCCTTAATGTATAGTATCTTACTCCTTGTATTATTGTCTTCATTTGCTTATTGAGTTCATTGATCTGCTGCACCATGAAATATATGGTGCAATTCATTTTTTTTTGTTCTCCCTTGTACTTAAGCTCTCATAGCTAGTTTAAGTATGAAATTCTCTT